ACAGACATGAGTTTGAACCCCAGCTCTACTGCTCGCTGGCTGTGTGACCTTGGGGAAGTGTTTCCCCCTCTCTGAGCCATCCAGTTATATACTCATCCTGGTCTCAAAGAGATTAAATGAGTTGAGGGCTCAAGAATAAGAGCTTTTCGCACAATAGTTCAGTGACCTGGTGAGGGATTTTCACTTGGTAAATGAGAAAACAGAAGTCACAGCTACTGAGAGGCAGTCAGCCAGCCTCAATACCTTTGGCTCCATTGTTCCTCCACCCCTGACCCGCTGTCCAGTGCACACCCAGTACCTTGACTCATTTCATTCTCTAAAAATCCTACCCAGTCTCCATTCTGTCTTGTCCATGAAGCCTGTGATTTTTAAGAATTGGTTTTATTTTTGGATAGTTCATATGTCCAGGTGGCTCAAAGTTCAAGGGTACAAAGGGTATGCTAGAATCAATAAGTCCCCCTTGCTCCTCTGTCTACCCAGCCCCCCCCAATTGGGACTGCTTCAATGGAGACCACTCTGTGCGCCCTTCCTGATTCAGCCCAGACATGTGCGGGTGAATTCCCACACATGTTTGCTCTTGTTCTATGCAAATAGTAAAATACACTAGGAGCTATTGCGCATCCTGCCCCACATTCACTTACCAGCTTGTTCCCTATTAGTACATAGGGAGGTTCTTCATTCTTTTTTAAAAAATATTTTTATTGAATTATAACTTACATAGCATACATTCATCATTTAAAATGTACAATTCAGTGATTTTTAGTATATTCACAGGGTTGTACAACCACTATCACAACAAATTTTAGGACATTTTTATTACTGCCCCCCCCTCAAATTCATACCCATTAGCAGCCACTTCTTATTTCTTCCCAACCCCCATCCCTAGGCAACCACTAATCTGCTTTTTGTTTCTGTAGACTTGCTTGTTATGGACATTTCATATATGCGACTATACAATATGTAGTCTTTTGTGACTGGTTTCTTTCATTTAACATAAAATTTTTAATGCTCATCCATGTTGTAGAATGTATCAGTACTTTATAACTCTTTATTGTCAAATAATTTTCCATTGTATGGAAAGACCGTATTTTACTTATTCATTGATGAACATTAGAGTTGTTTCCACTTTTTGTTTATTAATGAATAATGCTACTATGAAATTTTACACACAATTTTTAAAAAAGATTTATTTCTTTATTTTTAGAGAGGGGGAAGGGAGGGAGAAAGAGAAGGAGAGTAACATCAATGTGTGAAACAAGCATGGATTGTTTGCTTCTTACATGTCTCCAAGTGGGGACCCGGCCAGGAAGCCAGGCATGAGCTGGAACAGGAGTCAAACTGGCAACCTTTTGGTCCCTGGAGAGACACCCAACCCAGTGAGCCCTACTTGTCAGGGACATATACAAATTCTTGTGTAGACACATATATTCAATTCTTTTGGGTATGTACCCTGGAGTAGGATTGCTCAGTCATATGGTAAGTCTATGTTAAACCTCCAAACTTTTCCAATGGTCTGCATTATTTTATATTCCCACCAGCTGTGTATGAGGGTTCTAATTTCTTCATGTCCCAATCAACACTAATTATTATCTGTCTTTTTGATTATAACCATTCTAATAGATGTGAAGTGGCATCTCATTGTGGCTTTAATTTGTATTTCCCTAACAACTAATGATATTAAGCATCTTTTCATGTGCTTTTAGCTGTTTGCATAGCTTCTTTGGATAAATGTCTATTCAGACCTTTTGCCTAATGTTCAATAATGCTGTCTTTTTATTATTAAGTTGTGTTACTTATATATCCCAGATGTCAATTCCCTAAGAGATCTATGATTTGCAAATATTTTCTCTCATTCTGTGGGTCATCTTTTCATTTTCTTGTTGTATCGCTCACCTCACAAGTCTTTAGTTCCAATGAAGTCTGGTTTATCTATTTTTCTTTCATTATCCATGTCACGTCTAAGAAAGCTTTGTCTAACTCAAGGTCATGAAGATTTCATTCTAAGAGTTTTATAGTTTTAGCTCACACATTTAGCTCTATAATTTATTTTGTGTTAATTTTTGTGAAAGGTGTGAGGTAGAGGTCCAATGTCATTATTTTGCATGCAAATATCCAGTACCATTTATTGCAAAGACTATTCTTTCCCTCATTGAATTGCCTTGGCAGCTTTATTGTGAAATTCAACTGGCCATGAATATGAGGGTTTATTTTTGAACTCTCAATTCTGTTCCGTTGATCTATATGTCTGCCCTTATGCCAATATCACGCTATCTTGATTACTGTAGCTTTGAAGTAAGTTTTGAAATTAGGAAGTGAGTCCTACAACCTTATTTTACTTTTTCAAGATTGTTTTGGCTGTTTTGGGTTCCTTGCATTTCCATATGAATTTTAGGATATGCCTGTTTTGATAGGAATTATGTCCATCAATTTGGAGAGTATCATCATAACAATATTAAGTCTTTCAATCCATGAAAGGGTGGATGTCTCTCCCGTGAGATATATTTTCCATCCCTTGAGATCACTTTATTTTGGTCTTTCTAACTTTCTTTCAAGAATTTTTTTTTTTTTTTTTTTTTTTTTTAGTTTTCAGAGTACCTTGCATTTCTTTTCTTCAATTTATTCTCCAGTATTTTGTTCTTTTTATTAAAATTGTAAATGAAATTGTTTTCTTAACTTTATTGTTAGATTGTCATTGCTAGTGTTTAGAAATACAAATAGTTCTTACACATCCTTGTATTTTTGACAAGTGCTTGGTACCCCATTATTGTGTTATTATTATTTTCCCAATCCCCAAGTGATGGATATTTAGGCTATTTCCAGTCCTTTCCTAATAAAACCAGTGCTGCAATGACTCTCTTTGTACACACTCATGGAGTCTCAGGCATTCTGATCTTTTCTGTCTCTCCGAGCTCCTACAATTGTCAGTTGCCACCACCCCAGCTAATACCATCATCATCTTGCCCTCAGATGACTGCTTCAGCCTGCTCACTGGGTTCACGGCTTCCCTCTGGCCCCTCCAATCCATTCTCCACCCAGCAGAGATCCCATTAAAACACAAGCCAGTGTGGTTTACTCCTGTGCTCAAAACCCTCCAATGGCTCCCACCTTGTGTCAGTTGAAGTGTACTGTCAATACCAAGACATTTATGGCCTCCCAGTCTGGCCCCACTACCTCTCCAACATCATCTCCATTACTCTCCCAAGCACCAACTGTTTCAGCCTCCTTGTATTCCTTAAGCAGACCAAGTGCAGTACCACCTCGGGACCTTTGCTATTACTATTCCTTCTGCTTTGAACACACTTCCCTCAGATTATCACATGATTACTCCCTCTGTTGAGCAGGTCGCTGCTTCCATATCCCTTCTTTAGAGAGGTCTTTCCTGACCACTGTCTCAAGTCACACCATCACCCTCCTCCCATCCCCACTACCTCTCTCCTTGCCCTGCGTTATTTTGCTTATAATCCTTATCATACTTGACCATAACATGCTAGTGGTTCTCACCATGACTCACTGAGGTAAATACTATTATTATTCCCATTTGACAGGTGAGGAAACTGAAGTCAGAGAGATGACGTGATTTATGCGAGATCACTCGGTCGATCTACGGTAGGGCCAGAGTTTGAACTCTAGTGTGACTCCAAAGATGCAGGGTTTAGCACCACTTCTAGTGATCAGCTATATTCCCCATGACAATGAATGAATGAAGAGACAAAATGTTTGCCACCCCAAATACTGGTAAGGCAGTGTTTTAGGATAAAATTTGTAACTGTATAAATATTCTTTGGTGCTATTAGGTGGTGGTGGTTTACACTGGGGTATGCGTTTGCCAAAACTCATCAAGCTGAGTATTTATAATGGTGTGTTTTATTTATAAAAGCATTCCGCATTAAAATTGATAGGAGCTTGGGGAATATGTACAAGGATTTATATTGCAGCATTACTTTAAGAGCAAACAAACCAAAAAGGCAGGAAGAAGGGATTGGCGGTTATCAAGATACTGTTCCAACTATCTACGGTCCTTTGCCATCACAATGGCAAATTTGTGGGAAAGGATATAGCTGATGCTGACGATGACCCTCTCCTGCCCCAGAACCTGAATCTCTTTCTGGAGGCCAGACTTGCCGCATTTTCGAAGTCCTCTGAACTGCCCGAAAACCTGCCAGACATGAGCCAGGGCGCTGCCTGCGGGTGAGGAACTTTGAATAGCGCGGGGCCTCTGGAACAGAAACTGAAGGGCCCGCAGGGTTTGGGACGCCGCACGGCCGAGCGGCCGGGCTGGAAGGACCGGATTGGCGGGGGCGGAGGCGGATCGGGATGCTGGGGGCAGGGGCGATTAGAGCGCGTTAGGCTCCTTTGATAGCCGGGAGGGGAAAGGGTAGGATCCCCGGAGGCCAGGGCAGGAGTCTGTGCATGGACCGCATTAGAATCCTGAGCGGCGGACTCAGATCCTTCGGGAGCAAGGCCGGGATCCCTTAGGAGCGCGGCTTGAACTCCGGTGCTAGGGTTACAAGTCTTGAGGGCTGGTTAGAATCCTTTGAAGAGAAGGCCAGGACTCCATCCGGTAGCCGGATTAGAATCCTTGCGGCAGGATTAGAACGTCCGGCGGGCGAGGTTAAGGATGCTTCAAATGTGGGATTCAAAATCATCTGGGGCAGAGTTAGGATTTTTGGGAGGTGAGGGTTAGGGTTCTGGCAGGGTTGGGATTAAAATCCGGGGGTGGGGTTTAATCCCTGTGGGGATAAAGTTAGCGGAATCAGAATTCATTCGGAGACGCGTTCGGATCTTTGGGGGAGAGGTTGAAATTCTTGGGAGCCCGGTTGTCCGTCAGGGACTAGTGGGGAATCCTTGGGGACAGGGTAGGAAGCCTCGGGCGGGCGGTGTTCAATCCTTAGGTGGCGGGATTAGGATCCTGGGAGGCGGGGGGCGGAGATTCGGACCCGCGGGTGGGGGTAGAATCTTTCGGGGGCGGAGTTAGAGTGACTCGGGGCGCGGTTAGTATCGCTCGGGTCGCTGCCGAGGCGCCCAGATGGCCTGTGGGCGCCGCCGCGTCCCTGGTTCCAGCCCGGGCGCAGCGCTCAGGCGCAGAGGCTAGCGGGAGGGGCTCGGACGGCTCAGCCTCAGAGGCGCTCTAAGGGACCCGCGGCGCGGAACCCGCTCCGAGCGCCGCCCTAGCCTCCTCTTCAGTCAGTCCTTTTCGGTGCGGGTACGGGCGCCCCGGGACTCCGGGGGCTGCTGAGCTGGGGGGGCGCTCGAGCTGCGAGGATCCGGGCTGCCCGCGGAACGAGGAGCGGGCACCCAGGTGAGTGTCGCGGACGCGGGACCCGGGGGACCTGGGCGCCGGCCCTCGAGGTCGGCCTGAGGGTCTCGGGGGTGTGGCAGGGCAGGCTGCGCTGCAGCGGGGAAGGCCGTCGGGGGATCCCGGACGGGCCGCGGGATGAGCGGCGGCCCGGGGAGCGGGTGCCCAGCTGAGGGGCGGCGGGGCTGAGCTGCTGCCCCGGGAGCGCAGGGGCGCGGGGGAAGCTCGCCCAAGAGTGCCTTCCTGCTGGGACTGCAGCTTCTCTTGGCCGTCCAGGTTCCCCTTCTGCAAAAGAAAAAAAAAAGGAAAAAAAAAAAAAAAAACGGGAAGGAAGGGATGGGGCTTCACGAAGCCCAGGAGGGGAAGCCTTTACGGTTCCTGGTGGGGGCTGGGGACGAGTCACGGCGGGTGGGCAGCGGCCGTGGGGAAGGGGCAGCTGGTCGTGGGCGTGACGCGCGAGCCACACCCAGGCGGCGCTGCAGCTGGGAACCCTCGCTGCGCTCTCTCCTCATCCTCCGCGGGGCTCCAAGCCCTGACAGGTCGGGGTCAAACCCCAAAACCTCATGGGCTGACCTGACCGCAGGCTGTCTGCCTCTTCGCTTCCCTCTGCGGAAAATAGTGGGCAGCCCTCTCATCTCCGAATCCCAGTTTCCTCATCTGTCAAATGGGGCTATGGATTCTCTCTTCCAAGGCTGCGGTGAGCTAGAGGATGTCACAGGCCCTGTAGGTGAGACAGTTTAGCATCCTGGTTAAGGAAGGGGGCTTCTGGGAGCCACCTGTCTATGAGACTTGGGACAGGGGATTGGCTTCTCAGTGCTTCCATTTCCAGAACTGTAGGGTGGGGATAATAATATGATAATAAGGATTAATGGCTCCCTGACGAGGCTGATATGAAGATTAGGTTGAGTTACTGAAGGCAAGTTCTTAGAGCACTGCCTGACAAATACACATGCTTAATACACAGTAACTACTGTACGGGCAGAGCTGCTGCGGCATAGCCCTGTGGTTCTCGCCTTTAGTGGTACATCAGAAGCACCTGGAAGTCTTGTTAACACACAGGCTTCTGGGCCCTGGCCCCAGAGGTTCTCATGCGGTAGGTCTGGAGTAGGACTCCAATAATTTGCATTTCTCATACGTTCCCTGGGGGCCCTGATGCTACTGGTCCAGGGACTACACTTTGAGAACCACTGGAGTAACCCTTGGACCACACAAAGAGGAAGGACTCAATAAATTATCAGTTCCCTTATCCCACGGCTTTCTCTTCACTGTCTTCTTTTGGGGGGATGGGGGGAGGCTTAAAATACAGAAAAGTGAAAAGAATAATAGATTAAATATCCCAGGGACCCCCCCACCCAGAATTAACAAATGTTTTGTTACGTTGGCTTCAGATTCTTAAAAAATAAAACTACTGAAAATAAGAGAAAGTTGAAGCCTCCCCACCTTGTTTGTATCCCTGTCAGTTCTGTCTCTTTCGCTCCCTGGAGGCAACCACTGTCACGAAGTACCGTTCTTCCAGTCTATTCCTTTGTAAATGTATTGCGCATACATGGATGCATAAACAATACACAGAATTGTTTTCTGTAGTTTAAAGGTCTACCTAAATGCTGTCCAGTTGTGAGATTCTTCTGCAGTTTTCTTTTCCACCTGCCTTATCATTGCATTTTCAGGGTCTAGCGGGGATGAGAGAGGTCTAGTTCATTCCCTCCGAGCGGAGTGACACAGCAGGCGTTTCTTGGGGAAGACTCCAAGATGCTGGATGGTTCTCCAGAAAGGGCATCCGCGGCCCTCTTCTTTTGTGGGAGAGGAGGGCTGAGACCTGGAAGGGTCACCCAGGGAGTCTGGGGCAGAGAAGAGAGAGGACTCTAGCTCTGCTGGCCCCCCAGCTCTCTTTAGGCCCAGGGCCGCTGTACCAAGTCTCCTGTTCTCACTGAGGCAGGAGGGCAAAGACTTTCATCTGCCTCCATTGTGCCTGAGGCTTAGTAGACACGTAAACCATGGAAGCATGAATTTTTAAAATTTGGATAAACAAACATTTTAGTTTGTTTTTATACAGTATTTCCTGTGCACTTTTTATTTAACATAATTAGCAAAATGCCGCATATACAATTTTTATCCTACTTGCTCACTTAGCATTACATTGTAAGCCATTTTTCCATGTCATTAAAACATCCTTGAATGATATTCCACTGTTTGGATGTACCATATTTTGTTTAACCATCTTAGCAAAGCACTTTTATGTAGTAATATTTTTAGGTAAAATTTACATAACATTATAAAATTAACTAGTCATACCTTGGTGCTTGTCGTCTTCAGAACTCATCAAACCCTGTACTCGCATTTTGAGGAAGAAATGTTTCAGCTCTCCACGCTTGCTTGGGACTCGTCGCACTTGCTAGAACTTGTATGAGTCACCAAGCTGCCCTGCAAGAGAAAATGCTTCATTGTTTGGGACTTATCAGTTCCAGCACTTGTCACAAGTTCCAAAACAAATTAGTGATGAGTACCAAGGTACCACTGTACTTTAAAGTGGACAAATCAGTGGCATTTAGTACATTCACAATGTTATGCAACCACCACCTGTACACAGTTCTAAAACATTTTCACCCCCTCAAAATGAAACACCATACCCATGAAGCAGTTAGTCCCATGCCTTCCGTCCCCAGCCGTTGGCAACTACCAACCTGCTTTCAGTATCTATGTATTAATTTCTTTTAGACACTTCATATAAATGGAATTATACAAATGTGACCTTTGGTGTCGGGCTTCTTTCACTTGATGTAAGATTTTCAAAGTTCATCCATACTGTGGCACATATCAATATTTCACTTCATTTTGTGGCTGAATAATATTTCATTGTATGTATAGGACACTTTTTTTAATCCATTTATCTGTAGATGGAAATTTGCATTGATCCCGCCTTTTAGCTGCTGTGGATAATGCCACCATAAACATACACCTACATGTGTTTGTTTAAGCACTTGTTTTCAGTTTCCTTGGGTAGAAACCTAGGACTGGAATTGCTGGGTCATATAGTAATTCCACATTTAATTTTCTGAGGGATCTCCAAATTGTTTTCCACCATTTTACAGTCCCATCAGCAATGTACAGGGGTTCCAATTTCTCCACATCCTTGCCAACACTCACTAATTTCCTTTTTAAAATATCATTAGTATTATGATAGACTTCCCAGTGGGTATGAGAAGTATAAATCTTAATCTCGCCCCAACCAGGCAGGCAGCTGTCTGGAGCCATTGCCCCAGCGATAGAGGAGAAAGTTATTTTCATTCAGGGGACTGGCCAGGGCTGGGCTTTAAACTCTTCTAGAAAGTAAGTCTCACCTGGGCACAGGTATGCTGTCCCCTGAACCACTGCATCTTTAACATCTGGCACCTGGCAAATAGTAGGGCCTCAAAAACATTGAATGTAGGAATTTTAAACAACCTCTCCCCTCCTTTGCCTGAGATATTTCAGCACAGAGGTGTATTTCATCTGACTCTACGCAATGATTCTATTTAATTAGTTGCTAACATTTAAAGTGGAGACACTGCACATAAATCTGGGTTTCTGTCTTCTCTTGAAAGTGTGAAAGAGTTAGCAGTCCTGGGCCTGAGCCTTCTGCCTCCCACGCCTCTCTGTTATTTGCTCATGGCAGCGTTGGTGAAGCCGAGTAGCGGCCACCCCACACTGCCCCTGCACTGCCCAGTTTGCACCACCCTTACCTGGGCCACTTCCCTCATGTGGATGGCCCCGTGGACTCCTGCAACCATTTGAGCCTTCAAGCTCTGTCCTCCCATCAAGACTAGGCTTCCCTCTTTTTAAAAAAATATGTATGTATGTATGTATGTATGTATGTATGTATGTATTTATTTAAGAGCAGGGAAGGGAAGGAGACAGAGAGGGAGAGGAACATCAATGTGAGAAAGGAACATCAATCAGTTGCCTCTTGTACGTGCCCAGACTGGGGACTGAACCCACAACCAACGCAGGCATGCTCCCTGATCAGGAATCAAACCAGCAACCTTTTGCCTCACAGGCCGATGCCCAACGAACTGAGCCATACCAGTCAGGGCAAGGCTTCCCTTTTTATAGAAAAAGAATATCATGCCCAGAGAGGGTAAGTAACTTTCCCAAAGCCACACAGCTAGTAAATGATACAATCTCTTGTTAGCCTCCATTTTTCTCAACAAACCCCCACACACTTTGCTCTTCGCCCCAGGACTGAAAGTTCCAGCGCACTTTTCAGAGGCGTGGGTAACAATGCAGAAGATACCCTTGCTTGAATGTAAAATGTGCCTTTGTTCTTGGCCAGTATCTGTGGCCACACATGCTGCTGCTCCCCCTGCATGTCACTGCACCCTCTGGATGGCACTTGCATTCTTAATTCTGCCCTAAGACACTCTCCCGAGCTCCCACCTTCACCCTGAAATCCTTTGGCCTAGGAGACTCAAGCACAGCCAAGAGAATAGGAGGCCATCCCTCATCACTACAGGAAAAATGAAGAACGGTAGACAGATCACAAAAGTCTTGAGTCTGAGCGCCGACATTGCGTCATGCACGTTGTGATGCGCTGGGCAAATTCCGTCCCTCTCTGAGTCTCTGTTTTCTCACCTGACAAATGGGAATAGAAGGGCACCACCTCGCAATTCATGCGGTACAATTCCTTTGATGTCAATACACAAGAAAACATACTCCATATTTCCCATGGCTATACATGTCTAAGCTTGAGTTTCCCTAGAAGCAGACCCTGGCAAAGACTTCAAATGCATTTACTATTTAGTTTATTTGGGAACTGACCCTAGAAAACCCCAGTAGGGGCATGAGGAAGCAAGACAGAGAGAGAAGGCCGCCCACAGAGCGGTGTTTTATCAGGAAAGTCACCCCTGTGAGCATCTGGAGCTCAGTTCCGCTAGGAGCTCTGCGAGGCCGTGAACAAGCTCAGGAGGTGAGGGAATGGCTCCTGTCCATCACTGGTTGAGGGCGTTTCCTGGGGATGGAGGTGATAT